TCAACTCTCCTTCTTCTTCTTCTTCTTCTCGACGATCTTCTTCTCCTCGACGTGATTGTCGTACTCGCCCTTGGCGAAGTCTTTCTTCATCTGGTCCTTGCCAGCTTGGTCCTTCCCGTTGAACGCTGCCCTGTCCGCTCCCTTCTTGATGCGGCGCTTCCAGCGATTGGCCGCGATGTCGCGCCCGGCCAGCGAGAACTTGAAATCGCTCGCTTCAAGTTCCTCCGCGTAGACGTCGAGGCGCCCCATCTCCGGGTCGGCCGGCCCAGCGTCGACGGGGCTCTTGCCTCCGAGTGTGCATGCCCCAGAAGTTGGCACAGAGGGTGCCCATGGCGTCGCTGTCACTGTTGCTCAAGTCGAGCAGCTGGCCGACCTGGCCCTGCAGCTCCGAGGCGATGGAGCGCGCGAAGCCACTGGCATCCTCTCGGGCATGAGGCAGGAAGTGGGTCGAGGATGAAGGGGGATGGTAAGAGGGTAGATGGGAGGACGTAGCGTCGAACTCCTGCTTGAACGCGTCGCCCACTCGCCTGAAGACGGTCTGCGCGACGGCGTTGAAGCCAGCTGGCAGCTGCCGCGAGCCGAAAGTCTCCGAGACCATCCACTCGTGGCGCTCGTTAGAAGCAGGGGCTGCAGGCACTGCAGGCGCGGCGGGCTCGGGGGGCGCCAGAGCAACAGGGGCCGAGCGCGGAAGGTCGCGCGGCTCCGCCGCCGAGGCTGGCAGCTCGGGCATTGGCGCGGCGGCTCCATCTGGGGCTTGACCGACTTCTCCGCGCCCCGCGGAGTTGAGTTGGCCCGCGGCCTCGGTCGCATTCGGTCTGACCTGGTGCCTCTGCGCCCACAACCCTTGGCCCCATCCACCAGGCGGCTGCGCACGTGCGTTAGCGTGCTCAGGGCCCTCGGACAAGTTAGCGTCGATCAAGCCGATGCCGCTCTGCCCGCCGCCGCCGCGGCCGTCGGCGTCGAGGCTCATGTTGTCGCGGCCCTCCTCGCTCTTGCTGCCCTCGCTCTTCTCGTCGTCGCCCGCTTCGCCCCCCTCGCGCTCGGCGCGGGCGCCATCGGCCCCGCCGCTCGCAGCGCATGGATCAGCGGAAGTTCAGAGGAGGAGGAGGAGCAGAGGAGGTGGGCGAGGAGAAGGAGGAGGAGCAGGAGGAGGAGGAGAAGGAGAAGGAGAAGGAAGAGGGGGCATGGGGGGACAAAGAGGAGGAGGATACGGGGCAAGGGAGGTCTCTCTTTGATCTTGAATGCGGCTTCTGCAAACACCTTCGGGCCCCTGGAGGCTGCCTGGAAGGAGGGGATGGGGGGGGGGGGGGGGAGGCCGAATGCCTCCCTCCCGCGCCGACAGGTCCTTGGCCAATCCACGGAAGTCGAACCAAGGCTCACGCGCTGCCCGCCCTGCCCCTCGCGGCTCTTGGACGGGCGGGCGCAGGTCGGGGCAGCGCGGGGAGAGGGGATTGTCTTTTTGTTGGGGGGGGGGGCATCAGGGATGTTTTCCTGGGCCCGATCGGGCCTGGGCGAGGCGCCGGTAGTTCTCGCGCCGCCATGGGAACTGCAGTTTCGCGAAGTGCATCTCTGATCGCATCTTCCCGGTCGGAACCTGGTTCGGGCACTGGGTGGGAATATTCGGCCCTGGGGGCTTCGCGAGGTCGAAGGTGTCCTATCGAGCTCGAGATTATCCGCTGTATGATATGGGGGTGGCTGGTCGAACTTGGACGTCTCATGCGCCGGCGCCCCCAATGTCAAGGAGGCCCGAAACTTTATTTTTGACGAGTTCCCGTGGCGCCCTGCGTTGAGATGGAGGCGGGGGTTGATGAGCGCGGGGGGGCGAAGAGACATGGTTTGCACATAACTGGAGTTAGTTTGTTGTTTTGCTGAGCGCTCCTGGCGAGCGAGCTCGATTGCCGCCCGCTGCCCCCGCGCGGGCAAACGGCCGCGCATGGCGGCGCAGGTTTCGGCGGAGCGCGGCTGCCCCATGCTGGCCTCTCGGGGGGGGGGCTGCGCCGCGGAGACCAGAGAGGCGGCCGCGCTCGGAGAGGGGGGGGGGGGCGGGGATATTGAGGGGGTGAGCTATGGGCGCGAGTGGAGACGGTGAAGGCGCGCGCAGGAGGGGGAAGGGACATGAGGGAGAGGGCAGGGAATGCGAAACGAAGGAGAGGGTAGGGGCAGAGGGGGGGGGGGGGGGGGATGGGATGGGAGCAAGGGGAGGGGTGAGCGACGACCCAGCGCAATGTTTCTGCACGTGGGTCCGTTCTCCACGCCGCGATTCGCTTGCGAGCAACGCTGCCTAGCTAGTCGGAATATGGAATCTCTGGATTATTTGGGGCCCCCCTCGACTGCTGTTCCGGCGATCTCTCGGGGGTCTTCGCAGCTCTCTTGGCCGCTGGCGTGGGGGCGGGGGGGGGGGGCTGCCCATCGCTGGCTCCTCATCGTCACTTTTCGCGGCTGCTGCTGGGCGAGCGCGCGCCTGCTGGGCGCGCCGGCGGCGCATCCGAGCGCTTCCGCGCCAAGGGCATTCCTCTTCCTCCCCCCCCCCTCCTCCTGCTCCCCCTCCTCCTCCTCCTCCTCCTCCTCCTCCCCCACTTAGGTGGCCCATCTTTTTGCGAGAACACCTCGCACGCCACCTCGCATGAGCAGAGGATTCTCATTCTCGCAAGGGCCCTGCGCCCCCGTGCAGCCATGGCGGCGGCGCGCCCGCGGGCAGAGGCGTCTCCTGGGCTTCTCAGGATGGTCGGCTTCAACCCGTGCGCAGCGAATCGCATCTCCAGGCTCGCAGACATCGTCGCCGAGTACCCATCACATGACATAGTTGTGTTATGTGGCACGCAGCAGAAGAGTAGTGGCGACGTGATCGAGGATGAAGTGATTATTGACAATTTCAGAGGTTATAGATTTGGCTACAAGAGAGGACCTCTTGTTTCCCCTTCGTGCGGCGTTACCATTCTTGTCAAGAAAAGTCGTTTCTACAAACACTCGGTCAAGCGCATCTTACCCGTGCCCAAGCAGTTGCGGGGTCGAGTTGGTTGCATATTCATACGTCAACAATATCAGACGCACGGCATCATTGGCATTTATTTCCCACCCAAAGTTTCCAAGGCAGGGCAAAAGGACGGATACGAAAAAGCTGTTCAAGCAATTATGAGGTGATTACAGGAGACACTGGAATATTTGGATTCACAACATGCTATACCATTAACATATACAGATCTCAACGGTGGCCTCGTTCACTCTGAAACGGATCAAGTCGCCGGCGAGCATGGCATCGGCACCTCCCCTTCGTCTCGAGCCATTCGACCAGTACTCGAAGCGTGGGGGCTCACAGCAGCCAACGCATACTACCGCAACTTGGCCACGTTCATCGGGGATAGATGGGGAGAGCCACATCGATCACATCATACTCCCCAGGTCCGTCATGCCCGCCGTCGAGAGTTGCATAGTTCACGCACGCACCGCCAGAAGACTACAGTTGCACCAGACGAACGCACCCAGAGATCACCGTCCAGTTGTCCTCATTGCTATTCTCCAGTGCACAGCCGCCCCTCTTCCATCGCGACCCCCACGACCGAACAGAGAAGCCATGTACGAGTGCGTGCAGACGGGGCATCTTCGAGAGGAGTATATCAAGTGTTTGAATGCCAAGGTGGAGGAGGTGGAGGAGGGGTTTGAGAACATGAAGGCGGAGGGAATAATCGACGATATGAATAGGGTCTTTATGCGCGTCTTGAATCAGGCGGCTATTGAAGTTTTTACACAGTCGCCATTGCAGTCAGAGGAGCGCGTCAGCAGCGCGCAGTTACTAGGTGCACTTCTAGAGCAGCGACGACGTCGCAGAGAGCTATTAGGCAGAGCAGTAGATCAAGTCGCATGTGAGGCCCAAACCAAGGCCATCAAGCATCTCAGTCGCCTGCTGCGGGACACAGCTCGAAAACATCACGATCGAGTGCGTCAACGTCGCACAGATGAATTACGAGTAGCATTATCTCAGCGTAACTACTACCTAGTACACAAACTGAGCCGCATGATAGCAGGCAAAGGCCGAGGAGCACGTAAGAGACACTTTCGAGCTCTCCCTCAGTCTCAGGCGTGTGCAGCTGCCTGGGCTACGCGCATGTTTCTTCCAGCAGCTCGGGGTGGTTGCACGGCTTCGGCATCTTCGCTAAACGAAATACAATTCGAAATCGACCAGGAGAACCGACAACCCAGGGACGAACTCGAAGCCGTCGGACTCGCCATGGTTGGCTTCGACTCGATGTCTCGATGCGTGTGGAAGCTTCGTTTTCTGGAGAACCTGGCCCGAATGGTCGTGCCCCCCCGAGCTGCTTAGGTTATTGTTCCATCCTGCATGGATAAATGAACGACGCCCCAAGGGAAGAGCAGGTCTGGGATTGGAGCCAGTGGAAGTCAACAACAAGGGGGAGAACCTACTAAAGAAGTTGCTGTGGGCTTGTCGGCGCTGGAGGCGCACGCCTGTTGCATGGCACGCTGCTCAAGCTGCTCGTTTGCCCAAGAATGCCAGGCTTGATTGCGACGGCGAAAGAATCATCATGGTCATGTGCACGCTAGGACGAAACTACAATGCTGGAGCCCTCAGACGGAAGCCCTACCCCTGGAGCCCCCCTGATTGGGTCTACGGAGGCCTCAAACATCGTCGACGAGAAACCGCCATGATCATTCAGGCCATCAGTAGTTATCGCATGCAGAAAGGAGGAGTCTCACACATCCTTCGGTGCCATGGTGCGACCAATGCGTTTTTTTCTCTTGAGCACAAAGCAGTATTAGCTGGAGCGGAAGAAATATATCATGACAACGATCTAGAGTTTATTTCGGACCGCATCACCAAGGGCGTTTTCAAGCTAGAGGACGAGTCTGGGTGCTTCTGGCTTCGACCTGGCTCAGGAGTTTTTCCTGGAGACACAGGAGTCACGCTGTTATTTGTGCGCACGTTCCCGATGCCTGTCTTGCAGAGCACAGCCGACCAGTTTGTCACGAATGGCTGGCACATTGCAGTCGAGGCTAGACTTCCCTGGGACCACGATGGCGTGGACATGAGGCAAGTCGCTCTCACTGGTTTCGTAGACGATATTGCCAACAAGGTATTGGAGGTGGGGGAAGGGTCAGCAGAAGATCAACTTGCAGCATGACCACAAGCAGAAAACACAGCAATCAGCGCAGGCATGGGGGAGGTGGGAGCGACTCAGAATATCAGCAAGCAGGAAAACACCTTGTATCTCGTGGGCCAAGGAGCTCACACACTTTCTCGGCGCCTTCACCCTGGCCTTCTTGCAGGGGTCGAAGGAGTATGCAAGCATCACGTACGTTACCTGGGAGGGCATTTTTCGTCGACCTTCTCGCCAGCACCTGAGTTAGGCAAGCGCCAGAATGCATTACGCGTCAGCTTCTACACTATGGGCAGTTTTTGGTACTCGAAATCCCCCTGGAGGCTCAAGGTCAACATGGTCAAGGGGCTCCTAGCCAACAGCGCTCTCACGGGAATGGAAGTCTGGGCCAAATCCAATGGACCTCTTCTACCACGGGACCTCAGTGGGCTCGAAAGGTTCATCGTGGGCAAGTGTAGGGCCATTCTCGAGGGTACGTGTGAATGGAGTAGTGGGCGCGCCAAGACCCTCAGCAGTCACGAAGTCCCCAAAAGGTTCGGAATGGTGCCTCTGTTTCTTGAACTCAGGATTAGGAGATTGAAGTGGTATCAGGAGCTCTCGAAGGCCAAGGAGTTCCATGGGCAGTTTTGGGCAGCTATGTTAGGCACTATGGCCGTAGACGGCGAGGTTTTAGTTGATGGTCGAGTCCCTGCGTCTGGGCATCCTTGGGCTCTGCAGATGCAACAGGACATCGACTTCCTTGCGTGCACAGAGTCAGGCGAGGACCTCCTTCTCGATGCAGACAATCGCATCGACAGGATTCTTTTCGATCCCGACGCGTCTGAGCAGTTTCAGCGCTTGGGCATCACCGAGCTACGTGCTGTGTTTCTTTGTCGTACCGCCACCAGCGCGGCAATGCAGACGGAGACAGGCCAAGAGGAACAATTGTTCTATTGTCGGGAGTTCTTGGAGGACGGGTCCAGGTGTCGAACAAACTGGCCATCGCACAAGCAGCTTATTGCACATATTGCGTCTACACAGGGTGGCACACATGGTCGTCTTCACATCGCTCGAATATGCACCCCCTCGAATGGATGTATGTTATGTGGAAGTGTATTTCGAGAGCCCGTCGTCGCCAAACAGCACACGAAAAGAAGTCTCGTTCGGCAAGTTTGTCCTTATGGTCGTGGTCGATATGAACAGACGGTGAACGAATGCAAAAACACGAAATGCCAAGTCTGTCTCGAAGAGTTCGACACCGTAGCCGATTTTGTCGAGCACCTGTTTCAGCACCTTTCCGAGCACCTCAGTCCGTCGTTCTACGTGAGACTTGATGGCGGACGCCGCGTCCTCCCTGGTGAGACCACGAGGCAAGAGTTTCTCCTACGTCTCAGGCGGCAAGCCGAAGAAGATCGCCAAGCACGCGAGCCAGGAGGACGACGAGGACATGGACGAGGAGGATAGCCCGCACAAGAATCAGCTCAGGGACGACCTGCTGATCCAGCTCGAGACCCGCGTGCGGGCGCTCGAGCACGCCGCCTTCAGCACCGCCATCGTTCCCAGGAAGTCGGTGGCAATAGAGGCCATGAACAACTCGTTCCAGGATTATCTCAAAGCAGTGAAAGAGAACCCAGACAAACAGTTGGCAGGGCCCGCATCCCAAGCCCTTTTCGCTCTTCTGACCGCTATAGAAGTCTTCGAGCACAAGGATACTTCGCCAAGGATGATCAAGGTCTTACGCGCCTGCAAAAGGCTGTCGCTCATGATGGAGAAGAGCGGGCCAGAACTAATGTGCAGTTGGGTGAAGGAGCTGGTAGCTCTGCCGACATTCGACCGCCCAGGAGCAGAGCCCAAGAGTCGCCTCACGTTCTCGCTCAAAGGGTCTTTGCTTCTTCCACGCGAAGACGCCACAGCAGCGAGCATGCTCACAGAGCTCCAGAACTACGACCCCACCAAGAGCACGGTCATGATCAGCCCGCTGGAGACCCCGATGGAGCTGCTCCACGTGCCAGGCCTATGGGTCCCCACCGAGCAGATTGTCTGCGAGGCGCTGAGGAGCATGGGCGGTGATATCAAGATGAATAGAGCCCCCAGGGGCAATTTGAGTCGCCAGCTCGGAGGCGGCAAAGGCAGGGGCAAGAAATCTTCTGAGTGATTGACGCCTGCCGCGGCCGTGCTCCCGTGCTGGACCCCACAGAGTGGTCATCAGCCTGCTGCCCCTCTCGCTGGCTTCTGTGTGTGCCTCTTTTGTTGTGTTTCTTCTCGGATCTTAGGCCTCAGTGCTCAGCCTTCGGTTGCTCTGTGGTTGTGCGCTTGCGCCTCCATGGATGTCATTTGGAGGCAGAGGTGCTGGGGTTCAACATCCGTGGGTCTCTCTTCCAGCGCGCAGCAGGGCAGCAGCATGGTTGCCGAAAGGCGAAATGTCGAAAGGGTGGCGAACAAAGAATTGTCGACCCAGCCCGAGCCAGCGTTTTTTCAACCAGTTACGAACGGTCTTGAAGGGCTTGAGAACTGAAACTGAACTCCTCCCCCACTTCGTTCTGCTCCTTCTCCTCCGCCCATTCCGCGCGCGTGCCCCTTGCAGCGGCCCCGCGCGCCTGGCGCTTGGATGCGCCCCCTGCGCCTACAGCGGCGGCTGGCCTTTTGAGCGCGCTCCCCCGCTTAGATGCCCCCCACTCTCGCTCTGGCGCGCCCTTCCCCCGCCAGCGGCCCGCTGCCTCAGCGACCCGCGTCGTGGCCTCGCCTTCATCGACGCCGTCAAGCTACAGCTCCATGACCTGCGTTTCCTGGGGGCCGCGGCGATCGGGGCGGCGCCGAATGGCGAGCGACGTCGCGCCTTTCCTGCAGGAGGGCAACACCCTGGCAAGGCGTTTCTCCGCGGGCGACTTCTCCCAGGGGGCTGGTATGATCTTCTTTTTGGCACTCTCGTTTGAATTCGACTTCTTCTCCGAATTGCACTGGTCAGCTGTCGTGCCTGGCACCTTCCACTAGGGGCCGTCACTGAAGATCCCCCGCGCTTTCCCGCTCTCGCCGCAATGCTCCTTGGCGGCTGTCTCAGCGGGGATGCGGCCGTCGATGTCTTGCCTTGCCACTGCCTTCGATGTCAGCTGGCGTTTCCAATCCAACCCCCAACCCAAATCCAGAATCCCCGAGGCACCCGAAGCCCAGGAAACCTGAAACCCCGAGACCCCATGGGACCCTGAGAACCGTCAACGGAAATTATAAGTTTCCCAACCCCCAAGTCATTGAATCCGGCAGCCTTCAATTTCAGAATCCCAGTGCGGAACGAGAGACGGGGCAGCCGTTGGCGCCCCGCGCGTGGTCACGCGCTTCGTCTCGGCATCATCGTTGCCTCTCTCCACCTCCACCTTTCCCTCCTCTTCCTCCTCCTCCTCCACCTCGCCCTCCTCGTCCTTGCTTTTCGCTGCCGGCCTCCGCCGCGCTGGCTGGCCCGCTTCGGACTCGTCCTCGGGGGGGTCGTCCTCCTTGTCTTCCTCCGCCTACTCGTCCTCGTTGTCGTCGGCCTCGCCCTCCTCCTCCTCGTCCTCCTCCTTGCTTCCCTCGGCCTCGCCGCTCTTGCCATCGCGAGCGTCGCTCGCGAACGGCTTCAGCCGCGTCGGCCAGGGCGTGGGCCGCTCATCTCGCGATCGAACTCGGCCGTCAGCTTGACGATTTCCGCGAGCATGGCACGTATTATGGCCGAGGTCTTCGCTGTCCACGGCGATATCCTTTTGCTCGGGCGCCAGGTCGATTCTCTCTCTTTGGCGATGCCGCCTAGGACGAGCTTCAGCGACAGATCTGACACGTTCGCATGCGGGCTGGTGCACTTGCGCACATAAATCAGCATGTCCTCATGCTCACGAATCGCCATGGAATCACATCTCCCCTTGCACATGGATGATTCTGCCAGCCCCTTCCATGTGCACCTGGAGAACGCCCGACAACTTGTGTGTCATGTCCGAGCGGGCGTCGAAATCAATCGTGGCTGGCCTCCGCATCTGGTCCGAACGTTGCAAGCGTCTTGGGCCAACTGGCTACGGACAGCTGGGCGCGCACTGGGCGTCGGGGGCGGAAGATGGCAACGATCGCAGCGGCGAAGGTTCGCACTACATCCCCGTCGGCGCATCCTGCGGCGCAGGCGCCGCAGGGTCTGTTCGCCGACTCTGGTGCAGGGCCCGCTTCTCATCGCCGCGACCGTTGCCATCGCCGTCGGAACACCCATTTCATAACGTCACCGTTGCCACCTTTGCCATGCTCATCCTCATGGCCCGTCTGCTCCTCGGCTGGCGGTCCTGCTCATCCTCGTGCTCCTTGCCCTGCTCGTCCGCATGGCATTCACGCTCATCCTCGTGGCCTTCCTGCTTCGGGCGGAAACAAATATCATAACATCACAGTTGCCAACTTTGCCCCGCCCCCCTCCCCGTTGCCTTCCTGCGGCTGACCTGTTGCGCGCGAAGGCCTTCGGCCATTTGTTTATTCATGTTTCTCCGCCCCCCCCCCTTCCCCCCCCCTCCTCCTCCTCCGCCCCGCCCGTCCTCTCCCTCGTCGTCCTGCTCCTGCCCCTGCCCCTCCTCCTCCTCCTCCTCGTCTTCCTCCTTCACTTCCTCCCCCCCCCCCCCCCCGCGCGCCCCCCGCGCGCGGGGCCTTGGAGGTGCGCGACGAGCTGGCCATCTCGGGCCGCCTGGGCGGGGGCGCCACGGGGCGAGGAGGGGCGAGGAGCGACCGACATGAGGAGGTGGCAGAGGGGGAGAGGAGGAGTGACCAATGAGATGGCGCCTTCCCCCCCCTTCCATGTCTCCTTCCGCACCCCCCCCCCCCCCCCTTCCCCCTGGCGCCTCTGAGCCCCGCCCCCCTTCGCGCCTGCGCGGGCGGCTCGCTCGAGCGAAAGCGCGGGCGGCAGGGCGTCTCAGCCAAAAGTTGCGGGCGCCAGCGACGGCGCAGGCGGCGCCCCCCCCCCCCCCCCATCCTCCTCTTCCTCCTCCTCCTCCTCCTCCTCCCTCCCCCTCCTCCTTTCCCTCGTCCCTCCTCCTTCCCTTTCTCCTCTTCTTCCTCCTCCTCCTCCTTTCCCTCGTCCTCGTCCTCGTCCTCATTGTGATTCCTCCTCCTCCTCCTACTCCTCATCCTCCCCCCCTCTCTCCTCCTCCCCCCCCCTCCTCCTCCTCCTCGTCCTCCTCCATCTCGTGCTCGTCCTCCATCGCCCCCCCCCTCCTCCCCCCCCCCCTCCTTCCCGCGCGCGAGCGTTCGAACGCATATTCAAGGTGATACTTACTTGCGGCACTGCGCACGCGCGCTCTCATGGCAGCATCCACGCGAATGCGTTTACATCACGTACTTTCTGTGGACAGGACATTCGGGACATGCCCATGCGTGCGCGCTGTCCGCACGGGGCATCAACAGCGCGGGGGCATGGGGGCGCCCCCTGATGACCACAGGGCCTCTCAGGGCAAGCAGCCGGGAAGCCGCCGCCAAGGGTGGCAGCCGCCATGCCGTCTCCAGTGACCGGCGAGGGCTGCCCCCATCCGATCAACGCCGGCCTGATCTGGGCCCCGGGGGGCCAGGAGCGCCCGGACACCGGCGCCGAGGATCGTTCGCCGCCCTTGGCCGAGGCGGCCCGCGCAGCAGGTCTGGCAGCGCAGCGAGCTGCAGGGCCTCCTCAACAGCTGGGCGGGTTTTCGCCAGGGAGCGCAGGAACACCATCAGCGCGCTGGGCGCGCTCCCGAGCGGGCTCCGCTGGCAGCTTGGGCAGGTCCCCGAGGCAGCGAGGTCGCTCAACCACGCCCAATCGGCGCTGGATCAGACGGCGAGCTACGCGACGAGCGCCGCGCACCATCCCCCTCAGATAGAGGAGGGGCTGGCGAGCGTATTCCAGCAGCTCCACGGCCTCCAGCGGGCGCCGGGCAGTTTCGAAGGGCATGGCGAGACGCTGGGCGCAGCCCGCGCCGTGGTGGGGGCCTTGCGGGCGGAGAAGTCTAAGGCCCAGGAGGGCATGGATCAAATGGCCCACGTGCTCGTGCACATCGGAAACAGCGTAGCTGCCCTGGTAGCAAGCGCGGACGCGGACCAGCTGCGGCCCTTCCCAGAGGAGGAGCACCAGGAGGGCCCACCCCTGGAGCCGGGAGGGCCGTCCACGACCACGACGACCAGTCCATGCGACCCGCTCGCGGACGGCAGCGTCGGCCCCCCCTGCGCCCGCTGAGGCTGGTTGCTAGTTGTTCTCCGGATGCGCGGGCCTCGCCGCCGAGGAGGTCTCTCAAAGCGTTTGCGGCGAGGTTTCGGGAACCCGAAGAGCCCCGCAATAGAGCGCGTTGCGTGGCCTTCAGAGGCGCGAAGTTTAGCGGGGCTCGGAATCCCGGGATGCTCCGGCGAGGGCGGCTGCCCAGGAGCTGCCGAGTTCCGAGCAGATAGGGGCGCATGCGGCGAAAAGCATTCCCCGAGAAAATATTTCGTTCCTGGAAATCGCTCCAGTGGTCGAGCAGCGAGGAGGTCATCTCGGGCCGACTCCCAGTCGGGAGCTCGTTCTGGGTTGGGCTGCGTCGGGCCCAGGGCATGTCAGAGATCTTACGAGGCAGATCCTCAGCGAAGAACCCGACGCCATCGGATTTTCTTTCGAGCGCCCCGTTTTCGCAGCCCACCAACAGATTTAGCAATAACAAGCGCGATCCCACTTGATGTTCATGTGAAGTCATGGCCGGAGTTCGGGATCTGGTCCTCTGTGCGGAAGCAGCGGCCCATCGGCATGATCAAGGCCGATATTTGGCATTTGAGCATCCGACGTACGCCCGCTCATATGGCTCCGAGGCTGGAGTCCAGCGACTAAGGATCGACGCGCGCCCTTTCAACGTGCAAGTCGACGACAGGGTGGTTGAACCAGAGACCAACGGGCATCCTCACTAACCACCGTCATCTCGCGAGCCTTCTCAAGGGCCATCTGTGCATGGAAGGCCACCGCCACTATCTTCTCGAGGGCGGGTCAGAGACCTCCAGGGCTGCTCGGCGCCCTCCAATGCTCAGCCGCTTGGCGGCACAGGCCGCGACCGAGCATCTGATGGGGCCGACGCCAGGGCCCGACCCAAGTGGCCCGACCTCGCCGAGGGGCATCCGGCGGAAGAGGCGGAAGCCGATCCTCTTGGGGGGGGGGGCGCGGAAGCCGAAGAAGCTAGCGACAAGAGCGGAGATGAGCCAGAGACCCGAGGTCCCCAGAGGGCCAAGCCAGGCGCCTCAGGACCACGAGCCCTCGGAAGAAGAGAAGAGGCTCATCTACAAGCTCCACGTCACTATGGGCCACCCCGATTCCAGGAAGTGTTGTCGGGTTCTTCGTGCCGACGGCGCCGCGCCGCACATGGCCCGATGGGCCGAAACAAGTTTCGACGTGATGAATGCGCGGGAGACAGAAAGTGAGCAACCACCGCAGGGTCGCTATGTCTCGGACTTGCAGGTCCTACTTCGAGTTTCAGTCAGTCTCCCACCCGATCTTCGACGTCGTGGATCACGGCTCGAATTTGCAAATCTGCACCAGGATCCCCGCGGCCCAGGCCGTCGATGCTTGGAGAGCCTGTTCGGAATGCTGGCTGAGGCCGCTCGCCCCCCCCCCAATTCCTGGCGGCAGATGGCGGCCCCGAGTTCGGAGCAATATGTGCGAGAGGTCTCGAGCAGTGGGGGGATTCAATTGCACGTTTGCGATGCCGATCCCCCCGGGCAAAATGGGCGCGTCGAAAGACATGGGGGCTGGGTCGCAGATAGGATCCGATCCGAAGTTGAAGTCGGTGCCTCCGTTGTCTCCTCCTTCGAGGAGTTGGACGAGTTGATCTGGGAACTGGTTTCTCACGAGCATGGTCTCTGGCATCGCGGAGGCTTTTCCCTCCTGCAACTGGTCCTTGGAAAACAAATCACGGCTGCCCCATGACATCCTGTCAGACGACATCGCCATCCTGGAATGGCACGATATCGTTCGGCCCCCGCGCCCGAGCCGGACTCCGCGGGGGTCGAGTTCGCCCGGGCTCAGCACGTTAGAGAAGACGCAAGGCGTGTAGCCCTGGAAGCCATTTCTCGAGATAAGATCAGTCGAGCCACCCACTCCAGGCTGTCGGCCCCCAAGACCTTCAGCCCAGGGCAGCGGGTGTACGTCTGGCGTCATCTCGCGAGGGCGTCTTCCCGAGCTGACGCGTTGAGTCGTTGTGGGTGCGGATGGATGGGCCCTGGGGCGGCGGGAACTGTCCGGGCCGCCGTCTGCGCTAGACGTTGGAAGCGTTCCCTCGAACAAGTCAGGCTTGTCAGCGCAGACGAAGAGTGCGCGGTCCAACTGGCCCAGGGCCCGCAATGGCAAGAACTGATGCGTCAATCCCAGATCCGGCGAGGGGCCGCCGTGGATGTCCAGGGAAAGGGCACCCTCCCGACGAAGCGCGCGACCGCCCCGATGCGCCGCGGCCTTGCCCTGGAGCTCCTAGTGCTGGACTCGGGCCCGTGCGCGTGGCGAGCGCGCAGAGTCTGGGCGACGGTCCGTGTGCCTGGGCGATGGCCCCTCACGGCCCTCGGCAGCTCTTCGCCCCCTCTAACTCTGCTGCGTTGCGCGGCTCGCAGGGCCGAGCACCCCGTTGTCTCGCACCCGCTGCGCGCATGCTCAGAGACGGCGCACTTGCGCGGTGCCCTGGCACAGAAGGCCACGATGCCCCCGTTGGGTAGCGAGCCTCTCTTCCTCGTGCAACTTGTTCGAGGGGGGCCGGCTGGGCCAACCAGTGCTGTGCGCATGCGGTTTGTCCGCGCTGCAGTGTTTTACGCCGTCGCATCAGCCGCGAAGCAAATGTGATAGCCCAGCGTTGGCCCCTCTCGCGGCACCGCTGGCGGTAGGTAACTGACTGAGCGGGGGGGCGCTGGCGCCCCCGCGCGCCGCCCCTTTCCCAGCTGGAGCTGGAGCGGGGGGGCCCCGCAGGGGGGGCAGGCGTTGTCGTGCGCATGAGCCGTTCGCCCGCCTATCGGGATCATTGGCGAAGTTGTGCTGAGTGCGGTCTCAGAAAGAACACCATCCGCCCCGCCTCCTCCGCCGTCATCCCCCCCCCCCCCCCCTGAGCGCGAGCGCGGATCTCTCGCGCCTGCCTGCTCAGCTTTCTCTTGGCCATGCGCCATGGCCCTCGCGCGTGTGCATCTTCATCCCGCTGCTCCCCACCTAGACCTAGAGGGCCGTTGTCCAGCGGCAAGCCGTCGGCGCGCCTGCTGGGGAGGGGGCAGCTTCTCCCCGTTCGCCGCCCCCCCCCCCTTCCCCCGCCGCGGCCGCGTCTAGCGCCCGCTCGACTTGCAGCCGGCACGCCCTCGGCCTGGGGCACTCGATGCAAGCGCGACGCGCGCCCTCGCCGCCGTGGCGGTTTCCCGCAGGCGCCGCCGTTCACCGACATCGTCGCGGTCGCCGAGCCCCTCGCCCAGCCGCGCCCGGCGGCGTCGCCTCGACTCGTCGCGCCGCGGCCAGTCGAGGAGGTTGCGCCGAGAGCGCTCGCACAGGTGCCGCCAGGTGCCGCGGACCGAGCGCAGCCGCCAGATAGAGCCACCCGCGCGCTCGGAGTCTGCGCCGCCGACGCCAGAGGCGCCCAGCCCGAACGATCCTCCGCCAGGAGAGTGGGCTGGCTGAGCATAACAGCTCCGCTCCCAGGACCGTCCCAGAGTACGCAGGTTGCCACTTCAAGGCGGCCGCGCCGCCACCGCCTCCGCCCCAGCTGCCAGCGGCCCCGGCCAGCTGCCCAGCGGCGGCCGCGGAGGCATGTCGGCCCAGCCTGGCCCAGCCCCAGGGCGGAGGCCCCTTGCTGCCCAGCTTTGCCCTGCCCCGTTCGCGGCACCGCTCGCTGCCCAGCTCAACCCCGCAGAGCGGGAAGGCCCCCCCGCCGCGCGGCGTGGTGGCGCGCCCCACCTCCCGGCGCCGGCAACCCCGCCTGGCCCGTCGAGCCCGTGGCCCCTGCCGCCCCTAGCGAATCCTTTCGCCGGGGCTAAGCCGCCGCCCGCGGCCCCACCTGGCGGCTCCTTCGCGCTCCCAGCCCCTGTCACCCCGACGCCAGTGGCACTGTCGCCGCTGCCCAGCCGCCGCGGGGAACCGAGCTCGCCTTCGCCGGGCCCGCCAGAGCGCTGCCCGCCAGCCTGCCCACCAGGCTGGGAGTCGCAGCAGGACATCTCCGGCCAGATCCGCTTCCTCAACAGGCGGACGGGCAACACCCAGTGGCATCATCCAGCTGGGGCGGCGAAGGTGCAGGGTTTACGCGACCGGCTTGATGGAGTCCGCGCGCAGCTTGCGGAACTCCATGCCGGGTGCGCGGAGCTGGCGGATGCGCTGCGCCGCCCGCCCAGGGCGCCCGCCACGCGGGCGCCGAGGCGCCGAGCGCTGGTGCGCCTCAGTCATCGTCGCCTGTAGTTCCTGCAGCGGCGCCCACGGCGGCGCCCCGCAGCTTGCCGACGGTCAGTGCGCCGATGCCTGGCGCGGCCGCCCCTGCGCTCACCCGCGCCGCGCCGAGTGCAGCTCGCGCGCCCGCGGCCAGTCAGAGCCACCCCGAGTTCCCCGACCTGGCCAGGAACCCCTTGGCGCACGCCAGGCCCCAAACGCCGGCGCAGCTCCAGCAAGCGCTGGTCGGTTGGCTCATGAGGTTCCACGGAGTTGCCGGCGAAGAGAGAGACGACGGCAGCGTCGACGCGCAGGCAACTTTCGCGCCCACCATGGCGTAGAGGGTTGACCTCCACAACGCTGCGGCTGCCATGGGCATCAACGTCATTCGCGCGATCGCCCGCTCGCGGAGGGTTGGCGGAGGTGCCGCGCCCGCGGTCGTGGGGGCCGAGCCCCCCTATACGCTCGCCCTAGGGGGCGCGCCCCAGCCAGACCTCGACATCACCTTCGCCGCGCAACCCTGGACCGCGCTTCCCGCGCAACTCCTGAACGCGCCCCAGGGCAAGCTCATCGCCGAGGGGGCCCGCTCCGCGCTTGAGCACAACGTCGAGGAGTCCCTCGCCTTCTTCAGCCCATGCACGGAGCTCATCTCAGCCTCGCCCCCGGCCCCCACGGCGGGCCAGAGACGCGTGGCCGCCAGCGGCCAGCCAGGCAGCTGCTGGCCACGGCGGGCGCAGCGCCCGCGGCGACCGCGGGGCCCCGGCGACCCCCCGCGACGGTGAAACCCTCCCGCGCCCGCCCGCGCGTGACGATCGCGCGCGCGCATCTCCCCCGCGTCCAGGCCCATTCTCGCCACGCCTAATGTTGTTCTGCCCCCGTCCGATGCGGCGAGGCGGTCTGGCACTGGATTCCTTATGAACAGGAAAGGAGGCGCTCTGCGGGGGGGGAGGTGACTGCGCCGAGCCCCCGCGTGCGCTTCTGCATGTTTTTGCCATGGTGCCCATTTGCCCTCGCCCCCTGCCCCCCTCCCTGCTGCGCCAATTCCCCCCGAGTCTGCCGAGCTGATCCCCCCCTCCCCCGGTCTGGCGGGGCCCCTCGCGAGAGCCACCTGCTGTCCGCCACTGAACCTGACGGCAGGGCGCACGGAGAGAGGATAGGTGCAAGCAAAGACGTTCAGACTACATGGCCAGACATGCCTCGATGATTGGTGACGACGATTCGCGGCGCGACGACATGCCACGCCGCGACGACGAAGATATGCCCAGCAGCGTCATGCCACGACTTGCCAAGCATTTGCTGGCCACGACGTGCCCCTGCGATGATGCTCAAGGGCCGTCTCCACGAGGGGAGTGAACGACCTCGACCACACGGGATACGGCCCGCGCGGGCGCCTCCACCGCCCCCCCCCCCCCCCTAGCGGAGAGGAAGGGCGCCCGCGCTGCGGGGGCTGAGGGCCCGGGCGCGCGCCGCCGGCGCGCGGCTGGCCTGACGCCGCCGCTGCGCACGAAATGGCATCAAATGAAAGTGACGCGGCCCCTCGGGGCCCGCCACCAGGCCTCTCCCCGCCCGAACCCCGCCCGTAGGGACGACGCGTCGAAGTGTTACACGGCCCTGTTCGAGCTTATGTCCAGCGGGCGCATTATCCCAGTAGACGAGGGGGGCGAGCTAGAGCGCCGCAAAGCTCAGCCTGAACTGAAGAACGGATCTCAGGCGGCTTCCCGGAAAGAACTGGACCCGGAGACCTTCCTATCCTGGTTAAATCTACGACAGCGGCATGCATGTCCCAGGAAATCCAGGAGGCGGTGGTGGTGTGGGTGGTCTCTCCTCCTCCTCCTCCTCCTCCTCCTCCTCCTCCTCCTCCTCCTCCTCCTCCTCCTCCTCCTCCTCCTCCGCCGCCTCCTCCTCCTCCTCCTCCTCCTCATCCTCCCTCTCTTCGTCTCCTGCTGTCTTTCACTAGTGCCTCGCCACCCTTTCGTGTCTCCCTTTTTGGGGAAGCCAGTCCCACGGACGGGGCAGTAGTTCTGACGACGTCTGCTACAACAGCAGGCCTTGTGTGATTTAGTTGTGCTAAACCTGGAAGAAAGTCTGACCTGTGTAACAGGTGGGCGGATTTACCCCGACAGGATTAGCATGTGCGTTTGAAAGGTTTTCCTGTTGCGAAGGCGAGACCAGACTCCGTGTCGTGGTATTGGCTCAAGGGCAAAACTGCGTGCCTGCCGCTGCTGCTACCACGCGCAGGCGCCACGAGCAGCGCCGCAGCTACCAAAGCGACGGCGCCCGGAAACGCCGCGAACAGCTGCGCAGACGGCGCGAGCCGCGCCACAGCTTCCACCGCGACTGCGACCCGCAGCGCCACGAGCAAATCCACAGGCGCCACGAGCTACACCGCGGCTGCCGCCACGAGGGCTATCCGGCGCCACGAGACGCACCACAGCGAGCACCGCGACTGCAACCGGCAGCGCCACGAGCAGCGCCGCAGGCGCCACAAGTTACACCGCAGCTACTACCACGACGGCGACCCCGACGGCGACCGGCAGCACTGCGAGCGGCACTGGAGCTACTACCACGACAATGACCAGCAACATCACAAACAGCATTGCAGGCGCCACGAGCAGCACTACAGCGAGCACCACGACGGCGATTGGAAGCAACACCAGCAGCGCCGCAGGCACCACGAACTGTAGTACAACCGCCACCACGACGGCGACGAGCAACACCACAAAGAGCGCGGCGCCACCACCACGACTACAACAACCAACGAAACCACCACCAACACCACGACCGCGACCCGCAACGCCACGACGACTACGGCCGGCACAAACACGACTAATCCGAGTACGACCACCAGCAGCAGCACCACAACGGCGACTAGCAACAGCACCGCCACCACGACGACAACCAGCAGCAGATTCACCACCAGCGCCACCACAACGACGGCGACCAGCAGCACCACCACCCCCACGACCAGCAGCACCACGACAGGGACCAGCAGCACCAGGATTGCCACCACCAGCACCACTATCACCAGCAGCGCCATCACGACTACGTCCCGCAGCATCACCACGACCCCGACCAGCAGCGCCACGACTGCGACCAGCAGCACTACCACCACGGCGGCGACCAGCAGCACCACCACGATCCAGTTCAGCAGCACCATGACTGCGACCAACAGCAGCACCACGACTGCGACCCGCAACACCACCGGCAGCAGCACCACCACGACTGCAACTAGCAGCAGGACCACGGGTGCGACCAGCACCACCACCACGACGGCGACCAGGAACGCCACAACTGCGACCAGCAGGGCAACAACAACAACAACAACAACAACAACAACAACAACAACAACAACGACAACGACAACGACAACGACCGCGACGGGCAGCACCACCATCACCACGACTGCGACCAACAGCACCACGACTACGACCAGAAGCAACACCATGACTGCGATTGCGACCAGCAGCACCACTATCACGACTACGACCAGCAGCCGCACCACGACTACGACCAGCAACGCCACCACCACGACGGCGACCAGAAGCGCCACAACTGAGACCAGCAAAAATACGACTACGACTGCGACCAGCAGCACCACTACCACGACAGCGACCAGCAACACCACGACTGCGACCAGCAGCACGCGAACCGCGTTATTGCAGGGTCCATTGCCTACAGATTGTTCAGAGGGCCCGCCGCGATGCCGAGGATATCGACGACGTCGACTTTGATGTCTGCTCTAATAAGACTGTCGCGAAATGTTCCGATGGCCTTGATGAAAGCGACCGCACACTACTTAGCATCTTCAGAAATGGCGCTGTGCTTTCAGAGACGCGTCGGCGCACCGGAGGTGTGCAAGCGCTGTGGGTTTGTGACGTTGTCCTTTCGTCCCGAAGTATTCCCTGTTGGCAGGGTTCTAAACGTCGGCCCCTCGCGCGACCTCTAAGTCGGACTGGATAACGTTCATTCAAGCCGATGAGCGTGCTGACCCTGCCCGGGTGATTTGTCATTTCTGCGATTTTGGGGTTATGATTTTGCGCGCGGGATTTGAAGAGGTATTGACTCATCCTACTAGAGAATTCGGCTTCACCAGTGACAGCCAACTTACTTGAGCATCTGCCTCATCAGCCAGGGCGTGCACAGACAGGGCACGCGGTTTGGTTGGGGGGTGCGCCGCGTTGGCTGACTCGAGCTGGGCGTGTGCGGTCAGCTGGAATGCGCCAGGTGTCAATGTGAGTTATGGTCGTATCGTGTCGTGTCGAGGCGGCGGCGACCCCAGCGTGGGCGTTCACAGTTGAACGCCGCCAGCGCCCAAAAGTGATCGTTCCAAGTTGCGCAACCCACGCAGCGTTAGAAACCAACACGGGTCGTCACGGCACGAATTTTGCCGTGGGCCACGCCCCGCGCGCCATTTCGCGCCCGCTCTCGCACAGCGCGCGCTTGCGTGAGCTCGTGGCCGAGCGTTCGACGAGGGGGAGGATGACGACGACGACGACGAGGAGGACGAGGACCAGCGCAAACCCAAAACCCGTCAAGGAAAGAAATTTTCCTTCCAAGCTCGTTGTCAATAAGCCCCCACAAGGGTTCGTGTTCATTGAAAGAAGTGCCCCGTTGCAAGACAACCGTTCGAAATTCTGGAACGGCGCCACAACACCATTCCTTGGATTTCAACGCCATTACTGCTGTGTCCTGACGCTCCTGAATCGTGCCAAAACGCCGTTCCTGGGACTTCAACACCGCGAATCAACGTGCCTGCTCCGCCCAGACATTCCGACATCGTGCCCCCCCCCCCCGAAGAAAACATGTCTGGGTCGTTGACCATGTGAATCCTTGAAAGTCCGGTTGCGAATTATCTAAACGAATGTGCGCGGCGCCAATGCGAGAGCCACGTTTAGAAAACGGCCCGCCTTCCATCCTCCAAACTCCTGCAATCGTTTAGGACGGATGCGCGCGGCGCGAAGGCGAGAGTCACATTCCGAAAATAACCCGCCCTCCATCCGACAAACTCTTGCCAAGTTGGAAATCGAATGCGCGCTGCGCTAAGGCGTAAGTTACATTTTGAAAACGACCCGCCCTCCATCCGACAAGCTCTTGCATCTTTGAAAACGAATGTGCGCGGCGCTACGGCGAGAGTCGCATTTTGAAAACGACCCGCCCTCCACCCGTGAAACTCTGGCTACTCTTCGAAACGAATGCGCGCGGAGCTAATGTGAGACTTACATTTTGAAAACGACCCGCCCTCCATCCGCGAAATTCCCGCAGTGGTTCAAGACGGATGCGCGCGGCGATAAGGCGAGAGTCGCATTTTGAAAAAGACCCGCCCTCCAACCGTGAAGCGTTTGCAAGTTTTCCAAACGAATGAGCGCGGCGCTAATACGAGAGCCACATTTTGAAAACGACCTGCCCTTCATCCGACAAGCTCCTGCGAGTTCTAAGCTTCGGGATCGTAAGCGCCGAGAAGCCTCAAGCGAAACGCCCGGCCCGCCTTTTCGACCAGCCTCGAGGTGCGACAGGGCAGACCTATTCATAAGGAAGGGGGACGGAGAGGGGAATGGGGCGGGTGGGAGCAGTGGCGGGCGGTGGTGGGCGGGCTGGAGCGCAAGCGGCGAGCTGGCTCCCGAGATGCGGTGGCCGACGGAGATCGGTCGGCAGAATGCTTCTTCCTGTTTACCCCGCCCCCGACGTCACAGCCAGATGCATGAGGGCCGTCTCCACGAAGGGGGGCGACAGACGTCGTCCAGAAGAGGGGCGGCCCGCGCCGGCGCGCCTGCCGCAACACCCCCAGGCGGAGAGGCGCGGCGCCTGCGCTCCCGAGACCGAGGGCCCGAGCATGCCCAGTGCGCGGCTGGCTCGTCGCTGTCGCTGCGCATGGAGTGAGAACGGAAGAAGTTGTGCTGGGCGGAGGGCGAAGTGTCCGAGGCCCCCAGGAGGCCACAGGTTTCACTTCGGCGCCAGTGCCCGGAATAGAGTATAAGAAACAATGCATAACATAGAAAGGACGAATGGCATACAAGTCTTCTCTTCTGTTCGAAGAACAAACCGTCGTCGCCAGTACCCGCAGGGCCCTGCCGCACCGTGTAGCGGCATGGCGCCCAGGTGGGCTTGCCCTGGGGCCCGTGGGCGCTTCGCTTCCGTGGACGAGGGCCGTCGGCAAGCAGGGAGCAGCAGTGGCACGAGTAAGCTCAGAGCCCCGAGTCATCAGGGCTCGGGGCGGTCAGGGATAGCTACAGATTCGCGCCTTCAGGGCCCAAAGCGGAGTCCCGTATAGCTTGGGTGCCCAACCTTCCGAATCATCAGGGCTGGGGGCAGTCAGGGGGTATTTGCAGATTCGCGCTTCGGGGGCCCAAACCAGAGTTACACCTGACCGCAGGTATCCCGGATAATTCGGGCGCCCAATCCTCCCGAATCATCACGGCTGAGGGCAGTCCCGAATCATCACGGCTGAGGGCAGTCAGGGGTTTTTGCAGATTCGCGCCTCGGGGGCCCAAACAGGAGTTACCCCGCACAGCAACTTTCCCAGATAATTCGGGCGTCCAATATAAGTTGCGGGGATGCGTGTTCTAGTTGGGGCATTCCGTTTTGTTGCTGTGTCGCCAAAGTCGGACGACGTCATCATTTTCTTAGGTAAGCACAGCGCAGTTATCTGTCCAACGCCGTGCCCGCACTCGGATGGACAAAAAAAGCGCACCGCGGCTGCGGCCGCAATAACTCAACTGTTTGTCAAAGAACGATTGTGCCTTCAGCAGGCGCGGCGCTGCGTCAAACGTGAAGGACCCTCGCACGGGACAGGCGATGAGACCCGCTCCGGGTGGGAGCAGATGCTCGCTGCCCCTGGCGCGCTTGCACGACGCGCGCGGCCACTGACCGGCTATCGGCCCGCATGGCTTGAGCCAACAATTCACCAGCACGCGCGATGTATGTTGTTTCCGCTTGCCCCCCGCAGCCGCCCCGCTTGGGCCACAGATGCCCTGACAGCTTGGCCGACGGTCCGTCCAGGACGCGTTCCTGGTGGACAACAGCGAGCTCAAGGCCACCGCGCCCGGCCTCTATTACCGCAGGAAGCCCAGCCTCGATGACACCGACAGAAAGGGCGTCATGGTGAGGCGGGGCGTGCGACGCTTTGCCTTTGCATGATCCGTTCTCCCACACCTGGGCGTCACGGAACGAAGAAGAAAGAGCGGGGCAAAAGTCACCACTGGAGCCCAAGTCCCGATCTTCCCGCGGCATCTCTCAAGCCGCATCTCTCTCTGAGGGTCTGGAGCCGGACACATCGAGAACGCACGGTGTGGAAAAGCATGTCACGCTTGGATCCCCAGGTTTCTACGGTTGCCGCCCATTACGAGGATGAGGATGTTCCCCAGGATGCCCTTGCAGCCTTGCCTTCTCCAGCGCCTCCTATGCCTTCTGGCAACCTCCTTCGTGCTCTCTCAGGGACGCCCCAGGTCAAGGCCTTACGAATGAGGTCCGAGTGGACTGGGTCGAAAGACCGCATCGGCAAGGCGTCGGCGATGCGGCGCGATGTTGAGACCGATTTTCTCCACGCCGGCGTCGCAGATGCACCGCCGACGTCGTCGGCGCGTTGCCGATGCATCGCCGATGCATCGCTGATGCGGCTCGATCCATCGACCCCATCTAGTACGGCAGGTTCGCGTCATTCCTACCGGCGGCGACCCCGCCGCCGACGTTCAACAATGAACGCCGGCGGCGGCCCAGAATCGGTCGATATGGGACGATCTGACGTTTCGGGCCACGTCCGATCGTTCAAGGTCGAACGATCCCCGCGGTGTCAAGAACCACCGCCAGGGTCGACACGGCATGAACTTGCTGAGGAGGAGGAGGAGGAGGAGGAAGATGACGAGGAGGAGGGTGAGGATGAGAATGAGGATGAGGATGAGTAGGCCCCCGGTTGGGGAGGCCTCTACAACGGCATGTTGCATCATCGCCTTGTGTCTCTAAGTAGGATGTGTGCGGTGCTTGCAGCTGCTGTTGCCGCTGCGCTTACACGGTATCGTAGGCTGCTCCTCCTTCTCCTCCTCCTCCTTTTTCTCCTCCCCCTCCTCCTCCTCCTCCTCCTCCTCCTCCTCCTCCTCCTCCTCCTCCTCCTCCTCCTCCTCCTCCTCCCCACGACGCTGCGATAACCAACAGTTCGGGTTCGGAGGAGGCTCGCCGTTCCTTAGGTCCTTCCATGATTTCTAACAGACCTCCTATTTACCTATGTTTTGTCAAGGGATGGTGCCCACAGGGGCACTCTGAGGCGCATTCCCTCTTACAAGGTTGCCAGGGGGGCCACACTGGGGGTGTTCTTGTCGCTGGGGCCCTGACACCGTCAAGGCCTGGGAATGTTGTAAGATTAGTGCCTGTGCAGAACTCCCTAGTCTATTGCTCGTTGCAAATTTGCTTGCTGCCTCCAGCGGTTCACCTCACTATCCAAGATTGTTCTTCTAGCGCGCCTCCTGAACCCAGCTTTTTTTTGGAGGGGCGAACAAGTGCGCTGTTACTGATTCAGCGCTGCTTGTGTAATAGCTAGTCTGTGCTGTGTAACCGCACGCGCACGCCCCTTGTCTGTCCCAGGGAATGACCCCCGCTGAGAAATTGGAATCACACGCGTAATGTGTTTTGCTCTCCCCGTTGCCGAGCTTCGCATGCCAGTCGGTGCAGGTGGGGCGACACCGTGAACGGCACAGTGACGGAGTGCGGGAGATTCGTCAAGGTGGGAGCAGCGTCTCGGGTGGACCGAAGTGGGTACGAAAACAGTGGTGCGAAGACAAACAGCGGGTTCCGTCCATTTTGGAAAGGATTCGCGGTCTGAGTCGCCGCGGACGTTGTCCATTGTAGACAGAAGGCCTCCTGCCCAAGAGCGGTCGCTGTCAGTTTTGGATCACAGTTGTTGTTGGGCATCGTATTTTTTTCCGTACAAATTCCGGACATCCGAAGCATCGGGGCCATGATTCGTTTTCGTACGTATCCATTTGTCTCGTCTGCCCGGTGCAAGAGAACAGAACCACATGCCGGACACAGCCTCCTGAGACCTCCTGGGGTCTCCTTGGGCTCCCTGGGGCCTCCTGGGACCTCTTCGGGTTTCCTGGGGCCTTCTGGGGCCTCCTCAGGCCTCCTGGAGCCCCCTGAGGTTTCCTGGAGCCCCTCTGGGGCCTCCTGAGGCCTCCCGGGGCCTCCTGGGACCTCCTGGCGCCTCCTGTGGTCTTCTAAGGCCTCATAGGACCTTCCGAGGCCTCCGAGAGTCCTGGGGCCTGGTGGGACCTTCTCAAGTATCCAGTGGGCTCGCGGGGAGATAGTCTCTTGGAGCATCCTGGGACCTCACGTGGCCTCTGGATCGTTTTGAAGCTTCTTGGCACCAGCGATCTCTTGGTGCTTCACCTCCTCCTTCTCCTCCTTCTCCTCCTCCTTCTTCTCCTCCTCCTCCTCCTCCTTCTCCTCCTCCTCCTTCTCTCCCCTCTTTCTCCTACTCTTCCTCCTCCTGTTCCTCCTCCTCCTCCTCGTCCTCTCCCTTCTCCTCCTCCTCCTCCTCCTCCTCCTCCTCCTCCTCCTCCTCCTCCCTCCTCCTCCTCCTCCTCCTCTCCTCCTCCTTTTCCTCCTCCTCCTCTTCCTTCTCCTCCTCCTCCGTTTCCTCCTCGTCCCCCTCCTCCTCCTCCTCTTCCTCCTCCTCCTCCTCCTCCTCCTCCTCCTCCTCCTGACGACTTGGTACTCGACTATCGTGAGCCGCCTGCTGGGTTAGAAGCGTTTTTTCAGGCCCACGCGCTCCTTGCTGCAACACCTTGTTGTGGTTGATGGCGACGCGGTGCCTATGCCGTTGACGCTCTCGGCCGAAGGCCAAGAAAGTAGTTGAAGGTGTAGAAGAAGCCGGCCAGACGTCGCCTAGAAGGCCACACCCGGCCGGAGCCAGAAGAAGTGGGGAAACCCCACAACCAAAAAGGAACGACAGCTCAACCTAACCAGCTCGCTTCCGAGTCCAGCGAGGGGAGGGAGGGGAGGAGATGGGACGAGGCCGGCGCCCGGGCCTCTCCGGTAGGGACTCCACCCTCCGCTGGGGGCGGCGGCCGGGCGTCGGGGGAGCAGGAAACAACTCCCGCGTTTGGCTCTGCAGCGTGCAGGACACAGCATCAACCACCACTGCACCACCAACGGCGGGAAGGGATGGGGGACGGGCGTCGTCGATGTCTTGGCCGTCAAGGTGGCCGTCAGGAACCCCGTCGTTTACCCCCGCCGTCGTGTCCACCTCAGCTGGACCACAGGGGGGGGGGGGGCGAGGGGGAGGAGGCGCCGGCCGCCGCTTCAAGGCCGGGGCGCTGTCCAGGCCAGCAGCAGCTGCAGGCCGCCGCGCCGCCGGCCTTCCTGGGGCCGCACGGGAGTCGTGAGCTTCCGCCGGTTCGTCCACCTGGGCCAGGTCAAGGGGAGGGGAGAAAGGGGGAGGGGAGCAGGCCGCCGCCTATTGTGGGCGGAGCGAGGGCAGGGCCCGCAGCGGGCGGCCGCCGAGCAGCCGACCCTCCCTTGGCCGGAGCCGAGCCGGAGTCCAGGGGCAGGGCCTCCAGGATGCGGGCCCCGAGCTCGCACGACGTCGTCTGCAGCCGGGGCCCGTCCTATTAGTAGTGGGGCCCGCGATCGCCGTGGCCCAACTTCTCTTGGCCGTTACCCTGGTCTGGTCAGCCCACCAGGCCTCGGAGACACCGTAGGCACGGCCGAGATCGTCGCGATCGGGCTGGAAGCGGGGGCACTCGGTCCAGAAGTCCGGGCGGACGCGGCGGGGTGCCCGCAGAACGGGTCTCCGATGACCCGCTCGGATAAAAAAAAAAAAACATGAGGCGCGGGACTCATAGGCAGGGGTGTCCCGCCTGAGATTTCCTCGCAATTCAATCACAGACGAGGCTCTGGCCTGAGACTTTTTCCAGATTCACCTCGTCCTCCTCCTCCGCCTCCTCCTCCTCCTCCACCTCCTCCTCCTCCTCCTGCTCCTCCTCCCCCTCCTCCCCCTCCTCCTCCCCCCCTCCCCCTCCTCCCTCCTCCCTTCCCCTCTTCCTTCCTCCCTCCTCCCGCCTCCCTCCTCCATCCCCCCTCCTCCCTTCCCCTCTTCCCACCTGAAGTGATGATAGCGATGCTCTCCACGATACCCCAGGTTTCAAGGATTTCCAGTATGTCCTGGTGGTCCGCATTGGCTTCGCCGCTAGATACTCTGGAAGCCTGGGTACGCATCCTGAGCCAATATCATAATTACAATATTCTCGCCATATGATTCCCCAGACATGTCCCGATTATTAAAAACCGAGGCCCAGGGCTCCCGACCCTGTTTTCCGTGGGTTGTTCCGCGTCCCAGATCCATTTTGATGGTCCCAGGTCCCGATGATGCACCCAAGAGGCCGAAATGCAGGAACAAAAGCATGGCCTTGGAGATCTGGGTCTGCGAAGTCCAGATCCCTGGGACAGCCACCTCTCCGAGAAAGTTGGCCCACCGCCGCTCACCCCAGGGCTCGGCCACCAACGCGCGCTCTGCGCACCCCCTCCACCCCCCAGGCGCGGAAGGAACCACACCGCCAGTAGAAATCACGCACCAATCGAAGAAGAACAAACTGCAGATAGTAATCAAAGTGTTCGGATCCCCGTGCAGATTCCTTGGAGCGTCGGTGCACCTTCGAAAGTGTATGTTCATGTCGTTCTCCCTTCCTCCTGCTTGCGCCCTCGTCCCTGCCCTATGTGCGGGACCCCTGGGCCAGGCCGATCCGCGAGAACGCCCGTGGCCCGAAGCGGCGCAGGAGGTCGACGCGCTCTTCTTCCTCCTCCTCCTCCTCCTCCTCCTCCTCCTCCTCCTCCTCCTCCTCCTCCTCCTCCTCCTCCTCCTCCGCCTCCTCCTCCTCCTCCTCCTCCTCCTCCTCCTCCTCCTCCTCGTCCTCCTCCTCCTCCTCCTCCTCCTCCTCCTCCTCCGCCTCCTTCGCCTCCTCCTCCTCGGGAGGAGGCGGAGGAGGCGGAGGAGGAGGAGGAGGAGGAGGAGGAGGAGGAGAGGACGAGGACGAGGAGAGGAGGAGGAGGAGGCGGAGGAGGAGGAGGAGGAGGTGGAGGAGGAGGAGGAGGAGGAGGGAGGAGGGAGGAGAGGGGAGGAGGGAGGAGGCGGAGGAGGCGGAGGAGGAGGAGGAGGAGGAGGAGGAGAGGAGGAGAGGAGGAGGAGGAGGAGGAGGAGGAGGAGGGGGAAACAGGCAGCGGCCCGCCCCTCCCCCCCGGGCCTACTCCGAGATAGAGAATCATGTTTCCGGGAAGCTTTCCAGGAGCATGATTTGTTCGGCTCTCTAAAGAGGGGGGCCTCTGGGGGCTTATCGAGGGGCGCTTTTTGGCCTTGTCGGCAAGCCTATTGGAAACATGGTTGGGGCGGTGGGCGGAAGCCCAAGGAATCATGTTCCCGGAAAGCTATCTGGGAAATGCGATTTACCAAAGTGTTTTGGGGGCCCGCAGGGGGCTCCCCTGGGGGCCCCTTGGGGGCCCATTGGGGCTTCCGGAGGGCCTCTTGGGAGCCCTGTGAGTCTTGGGAGCTCTTGAAGGCCTCCGAGGGCATCCTAGGAGCCTCTCAGGCCGGAGACCTTGAAATGTGGCGCTCTTCGGGCCCTCTTGGGTCGCTCTTGGGGCTCTCTTGGGGCGCTCTCGAGGCCCTCTTGATTCATCCGGGGAGCCTCCTGGGCCGTCTCTGGGCTTTCTTGGGAGCCTCTTCGGCCGTCTTGGAGCGATCTGAAGGGCCTCTGACGCGGTCCGGGACCGTGGGGAGGCAGAACATGGGAAAGCGCAAGAATGCTTCAAAAACTATTGGAAAATGTATGATTTTCGGCTTCTGGGGCTCACGGGCCTCTGGAGGCGCTCTTGGGGCGTTTTGGCGGCGTCGTCGGCCGTCCTGAGGCCATCTTCGGCGTGTCTGGGGCCTCTGGGGGCTGTCTTTGGGCGTCCTGGGAGACCGGAAATCACATTCCCGGAGTCGGGAACATGATTTCGAACGAGGCCCTCCTGGGCCTCCCTGAGGCCGTCTTGGGGGCCTCCTGGGCCGACTTTGTGGCCTCTTGGGCCGTCTTGGGAGGTTCCGTGAGCCCCACAGAACGACCTTTTTGGGCCGTCTTGGGCCCTCTTGGGTCTCTCTTGGGTTGTCTTGGGGCTCCTCAAAAGCGTCTGAGGCACTGCGAAGACGAAGTAAGGGAGTATGCTGAATATTTACGTTTTACTACGGGAACTGGGTGATTTTTGCCTCTTGAAGGCCCTCTTGGGGCCCTCTTCGGCCATCTTGCGGGCCCTTTGGGGCCTCGCTGAGGCTGTCTTGTGGGCCTCTTGGGCGTCCTGGGAGCCCGGAAGTCACGTTCCCGGAGAGGCTTCGGGGAACATAATGTCGAACGAGGCTTTCCTGGGCCTCCTCGAGGCCGTCTTGGGGGCTCCTGGGCCGGCTTCGGGGCCACTTGGGCCGCCTTGGAGGGTTCCGTGAGCCCCACGGGACGACCCTTTTGGGCCGTCTTGTGCCCTCTTGGGTCTCTCTTGGGCTGTGTTGGGGCTCCTCGGGGGCGTCTGGGGCACTGCGAAGACGAAGCAAGCGAGTATGCTGAAAATGTACGTTTTATTATGGGAATGGGCCGATTTTTGCCTCTTGAAAGCCCTTTTGGGGCCCTCTTCGGCCATCTTGCGGGCCCTTTGGGGCCTCGCTGAGGCTGTCTTGTGGGCCTCTTGGGCGTCCTGGGA